GATCGTGGTTGGTCCTCCCTGTGAGAACACCCTCTGGTGTCCCCTATATCTCAGCTTCCTCCTCTCCGACATGGAGAAAATTCCTGCACCGTGGGCTGTGCTGAGGCTGAAATGACTGTGGACTGTGAAGCCAAGTAACTGGGCAGCTGGCCTCTGGAGCAGTCTGTGTTCCAGCCCAGAGGATGGGTGAGCTGGCTGGCTACTTGGTCCTGGATGTCTCTGGCCTCACTGTCCACAGTGAGACATGTCCCTCTACCCACATGCACTTTGTCCTCTCACCTGCTTCCCGACCAGAAATGTGCTCCCAGCACCACACCTGATGGAGCAGAGCTTGCAGTGTCAGGGCAGCTGTGGCTCTTCACACACAGCAGCCCCCCCTGCCTTCCCCTTCCTGGGGGCCCAACTTGGGCTTCGCTGTGGAAGACAGATTTGGGTGCTACTGGAGCTGCCACGGGAGTGAGGACATGGGCTGCTGGGGGTGTTCCTGGCTGAAAAGCCATCTCCCTTTCCCAAGAAGGCTGCCCATGGGACCATGGAAAAGCATGTGGCTGTAAGCCTGGAACCGTTTAAGAGACCCTAATAGGCCTTTGGCCTCGCCTCTGGCAGTCCCAGGACCGTGTCCTGTGGACAGATGGCACAATGGTCACATGTATCACCTGATACAGCAAGATAACATTTTGACGAAATAGAAATCACTTGTTTTAAAGAAATGTTTGCTTCCGGTCCACAGGGAAAGGCACAGTGCTTGTGAGGAAAATGCTGTGTAGGTCACAGAGGAGGCTTCCTGGTGGGAAAGAAGTCGTATGGGCTTGGAGGGGAGCTTGCCACCAAGAGAGGTCTTTGGAAAGGGACTATGGGAGAGCCACCCCTCTGTAGGAAGACAGGCACCAGCCCTTGGGGACCATCATGCCCTAGATGTTCCAGAGCATCTGCCTAGTGCAGGCCCAGGACCCTGAGAAATATAAGGAGACCGGAGCCCTTGGGGCTTCTGAGCTGCCAGCCTGGGCCAAATGCTTTCTATGAGCAGTCTCAATTCATCCTCACAAGACATCAGTTGAGTCACATCCCTTCCCTGTTTCCCACCATGCTTAGAACAAAAACCAAACTCCTGTGCACGATCTGACACCTGCGGGTCTGTCTCTGCTGCTCTTGCAGTGCGTTCCCTGAGCAGGGCGGGCCTGTTCCTGCCTGTAACTGCATGTTCCTACCCCAGGGGCTTAGCACTTGCTCTTGTGGTGTCCTGAGTTCTCTTTCCTCAGCTCTTCAGGCTGCTTTCTTCTCATCACTGAGGCTCAGATGTCATCTCTTGGGATCCTCCAGATGCACTGGAGTCCCTTCCATCTGAATTTATCACTGTCTGTAACTCTTGTGAGTCCAGCAAGGTGTTGAGTGAAATTTTTCCTATTGTCCTGGAATTGCAGACTAGATCCAATGCTGAGGAGTGCTTCTCCACAGCCCAAGTTCCAGGAGCTGCGGGCAGCCGGGGCTGTGAGAGGTGCTGGCCCTGCCCCATCCCATGCCTGTGAGGTGAACCTGAGAGTGGGGAGAAGGAGTCAGATGAGTGCAGTGTTTGTGATGAGAAAGGATGCACCTCCTGCCCCCTCCCTCACCAGGCCAAGGCACAGTGGTTACCTGGGTTACTCATCTCCAGGTACCAGCACAGACCCCTGTTGGCCGCTGTCTGCCAAAAAGGAAGAAAGAGAATGGGATCTCCTGCTTGTGAGGTGTTGCCCTAATGTCATCTGCACCCACCACAGGGAGACCTCACCCATGAGTGTTACTTGGGAACTAACCCCCGAGAGGAGGTGCATAGTATTCATTAGCTCCACTTCAAATACAAGGCAGCTGCCATTCAGGGAACCTGCATGGCTTGTTCAGGTTCAGGCAGACACATGGCAGAGCTGGGTTTTGAGGCAGGCCCGTCTGACTTCAGAGCTGGGCCATTTTCCATATGAGCCCCAACCTCCCTCCTTGCTCCCTGACCTCCTGGGCAAGACGAGGAAGCAGGCCTCCTCCCGACCCAGCACCTTTGTCAGAGCTCGGGGCCTGTGGGGAACGGGGGGCCTTGTTCACTGCGTGGGACGAGGTGCAGCTCAATGTGTAACGGCAGCCAGCCAGCAGGTGGATCATCAGAAAAGCCACTTCAGCCGTAAAGATTCACCTCCAGGGTGTGAGTGGCCAAGACTGAGTGCTCAAGCCTGGATTTCTGTACGTTTTTGATCAGTCTCCTGCCTCCCCTTGCTTCCCCATCTCAATAACCAGTTTGAGGAAAACCTAACTCAGTTCTAAGTGTGTGCAAGTAAAAGATTTTGACGGATATGCACCAAAATATTGATGACGACTGTCTTTAGGTAGAGGGGGAGTAAGATTAGAGGGGATAATTTCAACAGAACTCTACACTTGTACTCTTTAATTTTGGTATTGATTGTTTACGATTATACATTCACATATTGCTTGCGTAATAAAATATTTTAAACCCAAGGAAACTGGCCAGGCACGTTAGCATGCACCTGTAGTCTTAGCTGCTGGGCAGGCTGAAGCAGAGGGATCACTTGAGCCCAGCAGTTCGAGGCTGCAGTGAGCTATGAATAGCCACCTCACTCCAGCCTAGGCAACAGAGTGAGACTCTGTCTCAGATCAGTCAATCTAAGGAAACCAATCTGGACCTGGTTTATAGATGCCTTAAAGAGTTCATTACAAGCCTTGTTTGTCCAGCCCGAGAAACATCATGCTATGCTTTTAGATGGGGACTTAGGGAACAAGAAAGAGCCCAGGGGGATCTTTCAGGGTCTTCTGTGTATGTCTTTGCTTTGAGTATTCCTCTGAGTCCAGCATGTTCCTAGGCCACTTGTTGCAGCAAACAAAACCCAAGGTCTGCATCTCCCTGAAGGAACTTCGCAAAGTGCAGTATCCACATTTAGAGCTTCCAGTTTAATGTTCAACCTGAATCTGGGGGTGGCTGAGTGGAGGCTGGTGCTGCTCTGCCCAGCTCCTGTTCTGTTTAGAAACATATTTACTGCCCTGAGGAGGAACCAGTTCTTTCACCCAAACAGGATGGGCCTGGGGTTACTCTAGAGGTTGGTGGGCCCGAAGCCTAGAAGAGAGGATTTTAGCTGCCTTAATAACTGATGTGGAGGGTTGTGCAGCATGGCCTGGGCATGGCCATGGGGATGTGAGTGCATCTGTCGGCCTGACCTTCAGGACCAGGGAAGAGGGAACCCTCATCGCCTTCCCCCCAGGACAAAGCAAATGAGTCAACTCCCTTCTTCTGAGGAAGAAGGCCTGGCCCTGGCAGCAGGACTGGTCCTACTGTGGACAACGCTTTTCCGGGGGGATCTATTTAAGGCCGGGCACAGTGGCTCACACCTGTAATCCCAGCACTTTGGAGACAGACAGGAGGATCACTTGAGGCCAAGAGTTCGAGACCAGCCTGGACAACATAGCTAGTCCCTGTCCCTACAGAAAAATGTAATCATCTGAACATGGTGACATATACCTGTAGTCACAGCTACTTGGTAGCCTGAGGCGAGAGGATCCCCTGAGCCCAGGCATTCGCAGCTGCGGGGAGCTATAATCATGCCACTACACACCATCCTGGGCAACAGAGCAAGACCTTGTCTAGAAAAACAAACTTAATATGATTTTAACTTTTTTGTTGGAAAATCTTGTTTTAACTGATTGTTTTCTGTGGGGAAGTCCTGGGTAAAACAGTGTCAATGGCTATATACCTAAAAGAATTGGAAACAAAGACTCAGACAGATGTTGTACACCCATGTTTACAGTAACATTTTTCACAGTATCCAGGAGATAGAATCAGCCCAAGTGACCATCTATAGATGAATAGATAAAATATGGATTATCAATAAGGTAGAATATCATTCAGCCTTTTAAAAAGAGGGGTGCCAGGTGTCGTGGCTCAAGCCTATAATCCCAGCACTTTGGGAAGCTGAGGTGAGAGGATCACCTGAGCCCAGGGGTTTGAGACCAACCTGGACAACTTGGCGAGACCTTGTCTCTACAATAAATCAAAGAGTTAGCCAGATGTGGTGGCTCGCAGCTACTTGGAAGGCTGAGGCGAAAGGATTGCCTGAGCCCAGCAGGTCAAGGCTGCTGTGGCCATGAGCATGCCACTGCACTCTAGCCTGGGCAACAGAGTAAGACTGACTCAAAAAAAAAAGAGAAAGAAAGAAAAAGGGGGCATTCTGACACATGCAGTAACATTGGTGAAACTTAAGGACATTATGCTAAGTAAAATAAATCAGTCCCAAAAGACAGTTACTATGTATTTGAGGAAACTAGATGAGTTGAATCTATAAAGATAAAGTAGGATGGTGGTGCCAAGGACTGGGATAGAGGAAAGGGAGAGCTCGTATTTAATGGGGACTGAGTTTAAATTTGGGAAGAAAAAAGTTCAGGAGATGAATGGTAGAGATAGTTGCACAGCAATGTGTATGTACTTAATGCCACTGAATTAAACATAGCTAAAATTGTAAATTTTATATTACTGTATTTTTTTTTTTTTTTTTTTGAGTTAGAGTCTCGCTCTGTCACCCAGACGAGTGCAGTGGCTGCTCCCCACCACTGCAGCCTCGACCTACTGGGCTCCAGTGATCCTTCCGTCTCAGCCTTCCAAGTAGCTGGAACTACAGGCATGCTACCACGCCCGGCTGATTTTTTATTTATTGTAGAGATAAGGTCTCGCCAAGTTGCCC